GGATAGTGGACACTGCAATACCTGGACACAGCAGAATAGAAGAGAAAGAACTGGAGAAAATTGCAAAATATAAAGACCTGCAAATAGAAGTAGAACGACTATGGCAAAAGTAAGCAAAGATAGTACCAATAGTTATAGATACCTTGGGTGCAATCCCAAAACATCTGGAGTACCACTTGAAGACCATCGGCATTGACAAAATCACCATCAGTCAATTGCAAAAGGCAGCTTTACTTGGAACAGTTTATATCCTGCCTTTAACAGTTCAATACCTTTAACACCATCAAACAACAGCATCTGCCTATCCCAGGTCCTTGGGAAGGACTTGATAAGTGGATAAAAATGTCAAATCCAGTCTAAACATCTGGTTGACTGTGCCACCAACCATAATAATATTTATTTATTTATTTATTATTAAATCAATTTATATAGTCACCCATCTCACTACAGGGACTCTGGGCAGTGTACAACAAAGCTAAAAACAGTAAAATACATCAAAATATATAAAACAAAATAAAACAAATAAAAGGATGTTAAAAATAAGGGAGCCACCTCACTAATTCCCCCGTCCACTGGGGTCCCCAGGCCTGCTGGCATAATCAAGTCTTAAGGGATCTCTGGAAGCTCAACAATGACGAGGCCAACCTCAGGGAGAAGATTCCACAGCACAGGCACCACAGTAGAAAAGGCCTGCCACCTGGGGCCTGCCAAATGTAGCTCCCTAGCTGATGGAACCCATAACATGCCCTCTCTGCTGGATCTGGTAGGGTGGGCAGATGAAACCGGGAAGAGGCACTCCCTCAGATAGCTCGGCCCCATGTAGGGCTTTAAAAGTCAACACCAGCACCTTTACTTGGACCTAGAAGCTAACTGGTAACCAATGCAGCTCATGAAGCAGAAGTGTAATGTGTGTTCTACCCCCACCTCCACCCCCAATTCTCTGAGTCAGTCCAGAAGGATACCATGGTTGATGGTATCGAAAGCCGCCGAGTAAGGCAAAGGTGGAAGCACAACCACCATCCCATCCATGCCAGAGATCATCCAAAAGTGCGACCAATGCTGTTTTTGTACAATAATTAGACTGGATTTGGCATTTTTATCCCCCATCAAGTCCCAGTCCTTGGGAAGGACTCAACAGGTAGATAAAAATGCCAAATCATCTATACATTTGGCTGACTGTGCGATCAACCATAATAATAATAAACTTTCTACAGTTCTGCTAGAGACCATCATACTATAAGGTGCATAAAAATAAAAACAAAATAAATATAGACTTTACATTGCACATAACACTGTTATATTAATTCAATGTTAGCTAAGAATTTTCAATACAGTATCTTTACCTATTACTGATCTTGCACTTCAAATATTAATATATACTGAAGTATCTTGTAAACTGATTTGTATATTATTCCCACCCCTCCACACTTACTTGGAGGAATTATAAAAGCAGGAAACGCAAAAGATAGTAAAGCATATAAAATAGTGTTCCTCCATTCAGCTCTGCTGACATAAATTAATTCCTCCATCTTTGGATTTTTTACCCACTAGTAAGATTCACTGTCAAAATTTGAAACATACAGTTTTATGTTACACAGTAAAACTTATTACACTGCTGCCAAAACAGGACATGTCACACCACATTGTTTAAAAATATTTTTAAATTGTTTTTATTATTTCTCCTCCTGCAGTCAGTAGCAATAGGTATATTACTAGGTATATGAGTATTTTCCAAAACATACCTCCAAATCGTTCCAGCATATTCTGTACTTCTCCCCTATAAATGTTTAATTTTAAGAGTAACTATTTTTGTACATTATAAGAAATTAAATTTATATTTTTAATATTTTTAATATTGTTTTACAGCAACAAAATAGAGATATTATTTAACATAGTATGACAGTTAATACAGTTAATATACTGCATATATAAAACATTACACAATACTAAAGCAAGCTGGCAGGCAGGTAAGTGGCTGCTGCCAGGTGGGAGTAGTGAGGGGGTGTGAAGGTAGCCGAGGAGGCACAGCATGAGCATGGCAGAGCTTGGGGTGGCTGCTGCCGGGTGGGTGAGGGTGCACAAGTGGCAAGGAGGTGTGGCACGAGCGCCTTGGGGCTTGGGTAGCTGCTGCCAGGTGGGAGAGGATGCATAAGGGTGCATGAGTGGTGGGGGAAGCGTGGTGCAGGCTCAGTGGGGCTTGGTGTGGCTGCTACCAGGTGGGGGAGAGTGTGCAAGTGACCAGGGAGGCACAGCGCAAGTGCAGAAAGGCTTGGGGAGGTTGCATGAGGGTGTGTGAGTGGCCAGTGAGGCATAAGTGCAGTGGGGTGTGGTGGGGGTATAGGTGGGGGAGACTTACATGAACAACTTGTGACCTTCCCTGCTGGCTTTCCCGTTGACTTTGCTTGTAGGAAGCCAGCAGGGAAGGTCGCAAATCATGATCATGTGACTGCAGGATGCTGCAGGATTGTAAGTTCAAGCCAGTTGCCAAGTGCCCAGATCACGATCACATGACCATGGAAGTCCTGGGATGGCCGGAACTTCAAGGACCAGTTGTAACCACTACTTGTTCAGCACTGTCATAACTTCAGTCACTGAACGAGTGGTCATTAACCAAGCACTACTGTACTTTGGTATAAATTGCTAAAATCTCTAATATAAGATATCTGATATGGGGCTTAACATATTTGGACTAAAAACCCAGGAGGACCACTTGTTGGTTGCAAAGAGTTGGTGTTTTCTGTATTTTTGTTATCTAGTTGCCATCTAGTTTGGCAGCCCAATATGGTAGTCCTGTTCTATTACCATATGGATTTAAGAATTCTACTCTGTGTGATATGTTTATATGTCACTTTCCCCATTCATTTCTTCTTAGTTCAAAAAATGGCTCTGAGTGCTTGAAATTTCTCACATTGGATAGCTTTTGATCCAATCCAGTAATTTTACAAATTCTTAATTATGTTTCTATGTAAAATAAAGGCCAACTTTATTTAAAACATGCACACATACACACATTTGCAACACAATCCCACACTGACCTGAAAATAAATCTTTCTATGCAGTATCATATCAGAGTTGATATACAGAGAATTACACCTTTTTTTAATGGCCAAAGTTGTGAATATATTTATACACACACACTTCTGATTGTGATAAGCTACTGTAACTCTAGCTGATAATATATAATTAAATTTAACAATACAATAGTTGTGCATCAAAAAAGTGAGAGACAGCAATTTACCCAACATCATCCTCAACTCCTGCATGAGGAGTTACTGAAGATCTTTTCTTCCCATGTTTATCAATCACTGGAGCTTCATCTTTATAGAAAAACAAAACAAATTTAATTAGCTGCATCACCAAGAAAAGATAAAAGAAAACAGCAGGTCAGTCCTCAGCATCCTCAGGATTGTGTGAACCTCCCCAAATACTGATGGGTCTTGTAGTGTCTACTCAAATGCATGAGGCCAATGAAGCTGTCACATAGTTATTACATTCATTCATCCAATCATATTTTTCTCACGTTTAAAATATCACAGATTTTATTTTTCCATATAAATTGAACTCCTATAGTTCTATACTGAACCTAATGTATTAAATTGTCACACATTATCTTCTGTATTGTGTACATCATTCTGTGAGGACAACAAAAAAAATAGTTTCAACAAAATAATGAAACATGATTCAGAAAATAATGTACAAGACTGAACAATGAATGCATTATTCTATCTATGCCTTCAATATTTATTCAGCTTAAAGCAGATATAATTTCCTTCTATAATATTTGATTAAATATTCAGGAGACTGCATCTAAGATTTTATGTTACAAAAAAGTTGTACTACCAAGTCACATACAGACTTCAGGGATAACACACGTAATTGCTTTATTAAATATATTATTTCTATTAATTTTTTGAACATGTTTTAATACTTTTAGAGAATAAGCTATAAATTTTTTCATGATTGGGTATGTACTATACTGCAGTGCCATACTCACAGTAGAAAATTATGCAAAAATCTCAGCTGAAATAAATGATAAAGCACACTAATTTGTAAAGACTGAGTCTAAAATATTTATTATATAATAAGCTTTCATGGACTAGCCACAAGTTAAAGCCACAATGAATCTTTTTATGTTTAAATTGCCACATGACTTTTTGTTGTTTTAGTGCAACAAACTATGAGTTACAGCTTGGAAAATTGTACTGTTTGTAAACTTGAGCTCTTAAGAGTTTTGAATTAGGACATGAAAACAGTTCAGGTGCCTCTAAATCAGTGAAAGTGTAACAATTCTGCTGAACTAAACCAAAGGTTTATCTAGTTCCACTCCAGATGGAAGGCCTACAAGCACAACATAAACACAATATTTATCTAAATAAATGACTACTGGGCTGTTTTAGCTCTCTTCTACATGATTGTTGATAATTGTTTACTTTGTTTACTTTCCATCTCTCAGAACCTGTTTGTAAATTTTACATGCCAGATAACTGTGAGTTCCTAAACAATGGATACTTGGTGGAATTATGGGTTTTTTAAATATTGAGCTGGTTACTACACCTTCTCTAATGTCCTCTTCAGAACCACTCAGATGTTTTTTTGGGTCATCTTCAAAGTTATAGACATGTACAGTTGAATCTTCCTGTGCTAGTTTGGTTGTTTTTCCTGTGGATTTTCTTCCTGATGGTGCCATGAAGATTTTCTAAATGCTATTAAAATTTATGTAAATACATTATCAGTAACATTCGAACCTCACATTTGTTAAACCTGAATTCAGAGTACTGTTGTATCTTGCATCTCTTTTTATAAAGCTAATTGGAATTCAGTAATGTCTCTTATGTGCAGAATTTCTTATACAAAGACATTTTCACAGATTAGTCTGAATTATGCCAAGATACTCACCTATTTTTTTAATCAAAGTGGCTATATATAAAACCGTGCAAGTTCAATTCATAAATTAAATCATAAATTAACATAATTTGTTGTAATTAAGCAAACTGCAAAACAGAATAAAAACTACTACTACTCTATTATTATTACAACTTCAAGATTTTTTATTTGCTTCTAGATCCAATTTAGAGTGTTGGCTTTCATATTAAATTTGTGAATCAGTTGCAATTCTCAGAGTCTTTGGATGTCATCTAATTTCATGTTTCAATATTTAAATAACTGGAAGGTATGCTAGGAAAGAGAATTCCCTGATGGTAATGAGGAGGCTTTAAAAATTGCCTCCATAAACCAGGTTGGCTTCCCTTTCTGCTTTTAAGCATCAGCTAAAGCAGCAGTTCAGATGCATATTCCAGTAGGACACTCTTGGGATATTCTGAGATCTTGTTTTTCCTACTGTATTACCAAGTTTATGTTTTAGTTTTGCATTTTCCTTATTACTTTTAGACTAGTTGTTGCCAACTTGGGTAAGAAAAGTGTGCTATAAAAACAATATTCATGAAACACAAACTTAAAAATACTTCTTAAAACCAGGTTATTGTAATCTCTTCTTAATGTCAAGGCTGTCTTTGGGTTTAAGATTTTAGCTGTATTAGACTGGGAAATTCTCTGTGCGTTGTTGGCCTGTGAGTTTCCAAGAATAACACTTTTGGATTGGAACGGGCAAGCACTCTGAAAGTCTACATACACACAAATAAAACAGCGCAAGAGATTTAATAAATGCGATTTAAGCCTTTTCTGAGTATCCTATTTCCTTAATTGCTCGGCCCATCTTTTCCAGCCTTCGCCCTTCCTTGGAGATTCTCCCGAAGTGCCCGAGGAGGTCCAGAAGAGGAAAAGGGATCGCCCAAAACGGCCCTCAAAGTAGCCACCGCCGCCGTTTCCCGCCCAAATCACCTCAGAGCCGAACTGGCGGCTCCGCTTTGTGCTCGTTGGCCCTGAGCACGGAAGCTTCTCCCAACTACCAGGCCGGTCGTTACCATCCCCTCGCCCACTCACACACGTCCCCCCCGGTTCTTCATCCCTCCCGCCATTTTTCTCCCGTCCCAACCCCTCGCTCTCGTCCCCACCAAAAGGGGGAGGCGAGCCGACAAGAGGGCGTCGTGCCCCCGCGCACCCGGCTCCGCTCCGCTAAATCCCCCCCGCCCTTTCCGCGAAGGCTCGGTCTGCACGCGCTGCGGGGAGGGCTCGGAGGCCCACGTGACCCGCGCGGGAACATTCCAGGCCGGCCTCTCGACCGCGTGCTCGCGAGGAGCAAGAGCTGCAAAGGGAGTTGGAGCGGCGTGATGCTTTCTCTTGTCCCTTCACGACCACTGAAAGGTCAGAAGAAAGCAAGCACGCATACGCCCCCCCGAAAGTTGTGAGATGGGCGGCCGTGTATACATCGATATAAATAAATAAATCGAATAACACACGCCCCCTAGAAGATTGTGAGATATACATCGAAATAAATAACACATATACCCCTCCCCCAAAGTTGTGAGACGGGCAGCTATATAAAAACCAATATAAATAAATAAATCGAAATGAATACCCCCCTCCAAAAGGTAGCTGTTTAAACCTACTGCACGACTGCCCCGGGGTTGTTTGAACCTAACCTGGATGTTTTTTCACCTAAAAGTCTGGCCTTCAATTCCACTCCACAATCGGCTCTGGCAATTTTTTCCCCTGCAGGATTTCATTTTAAATGTCTTACTTGAGGCTTAATGCCGCTCGCCTTTCCTTGCCTGCTTTCCCATTTTTAGAGAGTCATTCAGCATCAGTGTCTGAGCGAAAGCACTCAAAGCCAAGCTCTGACGACTGGGAATGGCTCAGTACTCTGAGAAACAGTGGCCTAATTTAAAGAAAAAATATAAAGGCAGAAGAGGTAGGAGCAGTTTTACCACTGCAAGCATTTTATTTGGAGAAAGCAAGCAGAGACCAGAACCTTTCTCACAACTTTCTCCATTTCCTTATTGGACACCTACAGTAGATTGGTAGCCCTCCTAACTTTTCTGCATTTTGGCGACAGACTTTAGGGCTACCAGAATCGGGGTGCAGCAATCCAGATGACCTTTTGCTGCCATCTAGTAATTGTCCAGATTTTTTAATTCAGATCTGATAGTCCTAAGGACTTCTGCTGTTTTGTATTGAAAGGTCAAAAGGGTCAGCAGATAGAGCTCTGATCCCAGCCACACCTAGTGAGCATACACATATATGTGACAAGGTGTTGGATGGCCATTCCAGTTGCTTGCTGAACAGCTTAAAAGCATAGGAGAAAGACAAGCAAAAGAACTCTCTATATTTTTATTAGTGAAATGAATATTTTAAAATGCACTTTCCCTGGCTGCATTCTTCCACATTCTTCATGGCCCTCAACAGTGGTTTTTGCATTCTCCCTTGAAGCTAATCTTAATCTTCCAGAATGTAGCACACATTTGTATCATGCATCTACTGCATTTACTTTGGCTCTCAGCGCACAGAGGACTTGACTTTTTCTGTTGGGGATGGAGATGGGCGTCCTATGACAATTGTATTCCTTGATCAGTTCTGATTTCAGCTGGGAATCAAAATAAATGGCAGTAATCATAGCTTGTTTACCAAATTTGGAAAACATTGAATGCAAGGATGCAGAAGAAGAAATCAATGCAACTAAAAAAAGAAGGCACAGGGAGTCCAAAGCATGTCAGTCTTGTTTTAAATACAATTTTTATTAAATATTTTTCATGAGTAAAAGACAAATCTAAAAAAGAAAAGGGAAAAAGAAAAAAGAGAATAAAGTGCAAAGAAGGAAAAAAAGAGAAAGAGAAAAAAGACAGATAACTGAAGAAACTAAAGTAAATTACTTCCAACTTTCTTTTCAACAGATATTAACAAACTCATCATCCCCCCTTCCTCTAAATCGGGGCTCCTCAACCTTGGCGACTTGAAGATGTGTGGAAGGGGGAATTCTGGCTGGGGAATTCTGGGAGTTGAAGTCCACACATCTTCAAGTAGTCAAGGTTCAGGTACCCTGCTCTAAATTATTCCAGAGATCCCTTCAACCCCTTTAATCCTCAGCTTTTTCAATCATTAATTCTATAGATCATCATTTCACTTTTTTCTTCTTTTAATAAAAGATTTCCAGTCTTTCAAAAAAGTACAGTGGTACCTCGGGTCACGAACATTTCTGTTCACGACCAATTCGGGTCACGAACAGCTCCATTCGCAAAATT